TATTCAACACTCGTTAAATCCTCCTCAAGCCACAGGGTCCATTTGTGATTACTATCACAAACCCAACTATACTCGGGACAAGTATTGGAAATTCCATGAGAAACTGACACGCAAACCTTAAGCCACTACGAACACTCTGGAATCTACTACATTACAACGGACTCCCACTACGAACACTCTGGAATCACCATACTCTCTGAGTCAGATGGAGTATTTAATCACGCTGCTCAGATCCAATTAGTTCACTTCCAGCCTGTCAACCTCCCACGTCCTTCAAGATATTTCTATGGCTCTCACTTATTTTTCTAGCCCAATGATCATTGATTTAGATGTCACAGATCACATGACTAGATGCTTTTAAGCTTTCTGGATATATTATTCATGCTCTTGAAAGTATACAATTAACATCGTTAATGAGTTGTACTCTACTGTTGGTAAAGCGTTAACAACCGATCTAACTCCAAAATCTGTTACATGTCCCTTTGTTTAAGTGTAACCTGTTATTTGTTAGTAAGATGACATATGACATAGATTGTGTTGCTCATTTTTCTCTTAATGTTTGTTTATTTTAGGATTGTCGTTCGGGGATGATGATTTGATCTGCTAAAATAGTAGCTGTGTTCTACTTGCAAGAGAAAGTCACGGAGAACGAGGACACTTCTCCCAGTAGTTGTAGTTTTTCTCGATCTACTAAATGTAATATTATGTTGTTGCACTATCGTTTGGGTCATCTCATTTTTAATATTTAAAACAATTGTATCATTTGATGCTTGCTAATAAAAAATATTGCTAACTTTAAATATGAAATTTGCCAATTAGCCAAACATGATCACGTTCCCTTTCCATGCCTCCCTACATGCCTTCCGCTCCATTTTCTCTTATTCACATTGACTTGTGGGGACCTTTCTGCGCTCCTAGCTTTACTAATAAACGTTGGTTCTTTATCTTAATTGATGATCATACTCGAATGACATGGGTGTATAACTTAAAGGATAAATTTGAAGCCGACGTCACCTTAAAAAACCCACTCCTTCATTTTGATTAAATTCGAAATTTTAATTCAAGTCCTTCAAACCGATAATGGCCGTGAAATTTTGAATTCTATTTTTGGTGAATTCTTGGTAAGTAGGGGCATCCTCCATCATAGCTCATGTATGAACATTTCTGAACAAAATGTAGTTGATAAGAGAAAAAACCGACACCTTCTCGAAGTAGCTCGCTTCATTATGTTTCAATTTAATGCCCCGAAAAAAATTTTAAATGATGTTGTGCTTATTGTCACCTATCACATCAATACAATCCTCACAAAAATTCATAATTTCATAACTCCATTAGCCATCTTAATGTCTTATTTCACTACCAATAGGTTCTTCACCACTCTTGAACCCAAAATTTTTGAGTGCATGGCCTTTGTTCGAAACACTACTTCTTATTGTAGTAAGTTTGATCCTAGTTCTATAAAATGTATCTTTCTCGGATATTCTGCCACTTAAAAATGCTATCAGTGTCTTGATCCTACCACAAATAAACTCTATGTAAGTGTTGGTGTCTCCTTTGAAAGTTCCCTATTTCCCCGTCACTGCCTCAAGTAAGGGGAGTTTGATTTCTTGGATACTATTCCTTATCCGATCCATGTGTGTAATTCTTCAATCATTATATTTGAGGAGCCCTCTGTCCTTCTGGATCTGCTACCTATCAGACAATTAGAATCTCCTCCCATTCTTCGTGTCTATACTTGATGTACTCATGTTCCCGTTCTGGAGCCCGCTACCTCTTTACAGGACCTGGAATCCTCTTCGAACGACATTCCCAGAACTAACACTACTCTGAATGAGGAAGTGAGTTCGAGGTATGTAATCAGGCAAACTGTATTTATTCCATTGAAAATATATCTCTTTCCACAGTGTATCGCAGACATACAAAACGTTTGCTATTGCCCTGATAGATCATCACCTCCCATCCACTATTGAAACAACATTAGTTGATCCTTCCTGGAAAATTGCAATAATGAATGAGATGAATGCCCTTCAACGGAATCATACATGAGATGTTGTGGATCTTCCTCCAAGTAAGAAAGCTGTGGGGTAGTGTTGGATATTTAACACCAAATTTAACTCCGATGGATTCTTGGAATACAATAAGGCACGACTAGTCGCCAAAGGCTACTCATAAACATACAACGTTGATTATGAGGATTCATTTGTTATGGTTGCTAAATTAAATACCATTCGGGTTTTACTTTCTCTTGTTGTGAATTTGGACTGGCCCTTACTTTTGTTGGATATAAAGATGCTTTTCTAAATGGGGATCTCACAGAGGAGGTGTATGTGTGCCTCCCTCCAGGTTTCGACTCTACTTTCTGCTGGGGACTAGTGTGCCGACTGCGGAAGTCCCTCTACGAACTAAAAGAATTCCCAAGGGCCTGGTTTGACAAGTTCACAATGGTGGCAATGAGTCAAGTTTTCTCTCAGGCTCAATCAGATCATGCTCTCTTCTTTCGGCATTCATCTGGTGGCCAAGTTGCTATCCTTATCTTCTATGTCTACGATATTGTTACTTCATTTGAAATGAAGGACTTGAGATCGCTTTAGTACTTCTTAGGCATGAAAGTTGCTCGGTCATCTCGAGGCATTTGCTTGTCACAACACAAATATGTATTTAACCTATTGACTGAAAATAACCTTCTCCTATGCAAACTAGTGGTGTCCCGATGGATCCCAATGAGAAATTAACTGATATTCCCAATATTGTTCCAGTAAATAAGACTCACTACCAACGATTAGTGGGGAAACTAATTTACCTCCTCCATACATATCCCGATATTTCCCACGCAGTAGTTATTGTGGGTCAATTCATGCATAATCTCTTTGAGCACTATCTCTAAGTTGTCCACAAATCCTTTACTACTTAAAGGCACATCGGGTTCAGATTTATTTTTTCTCGGGCCACACCTCGATCTATTGTTGCTTATACAGACGCGGATTTGGTCAGGGTCCGTCCATGTTTGGCGATCCAACGCGGGATATTGCTCATTCGTGTGGGAAAATCTTATCGTGTGAAAAAATAAAAAACAGTCGGTTGTGGCGCTGAGAAGTGCTGAAGCTGAGTATCGCTCCATATCCTTGGGTATCTGTGAAGTTTTCTGGTTACGCTTCATGCTCCATGAATTACATCTATATACTCTCCAACTGTTCTGTGATAATAAAGCCATCATTAGCATTACCTATAACCCGGTCCAACATGATCAGACGAAGTATGTAGAGAGTAACAGACACTTTATTAAGGAGAAACTTGATTCAAGAGAGATTTGTATTTCATTTGTCTGATCCAATGGTCAATTCATAGATATCCTTATGAAGAATCTTCCTTGGTCATTGTTTGACGACTTCAATCCAAGTTAAACATAATAGACATCTATGTTTCAACATGAGGGGGAGTATTAGAATTATTGGCTTAATTATTAGACGAATTATTGCTACAATTATTATGAGCTTTTATTTGCTTTCTTTATATTTTCTTTTCCATATTTATGTATTTTTTAGTTGGTCTATTTTTGAATTTATGTCTTTCCTTTTATTTGAATCTTGTAATATGTATTTTTTCCTATCAATGAAATGATCGTGCTCTATTCTCAAATTTAACAAGAGTAAGTAAAAAAATCAGAATAACAAACAAAATGCTTAGAAGATGGATGACTTTAGAATTAGTTGAACAAAGAGTGAACATATTATATACAATTTTAAGGGGTATGATGATAACTTAATTAATATCTATATGTGATCAAATAATTTTTTTTGAATTTTTATGCAAAAGAATGAGATTGAGGTGATGATATATCATCTAGAGTTAAGGTTGATGGTTAAAATTGAGAAGCGCCTCAAGAGTATTATGTGATAAAATGATATCATATGACTTAAAAGATACATTTTATAAAACAATAATTACGTATATCATATTATATTCATTCAAGTCTTGGGCAGTAAAAAGGTCATTGATATTTGTCTTGATCGTGAAAAAAAATGAGAATGTTAAGATTGATGTATGTCAAAATTTGTAATGCTAAATTACGGAATGATTATGTTCCAGAATGGTTGTAGTGCGTTCTTTTGAAGATAAGATGATTGAAAATTTATTTGGTGGTTTAGACTTGTACAGTGGTGAGACCTGCAATGTTCTATGGTGCTGAATGTTGGCCTTTAAAAGAGAAGCATAAAACTAAGTTAAGTGTTTCCGAGATGAGAATGATTAGGTGGATGAGTGACTTTACTACTTAGAGACAGAATGGGAAATGAATATATCCATGATAGGGTTGGTGTAGCTCCAATGACAAAAATTAGAGAGAGTCTTAGAGAGAGTCGTCTTAGATGGTTTGGTCACATTAAACGTGGACCATGTGATGATCCGATTGGAAGAGTAGATAAGAAAGACAGAGGTAGACCTAAGAAGAGTTTGGTATATTGTATAAAACATGATCTTAATTTATTAGAATTAAATGAAAATATGACACTAAATTGGACACAATAGAGAAAAATGATTGATGTAGCCGACCCCATTTTGTGGAATAAAGGTTTTGTTGTTGTTGTTGTTGTTGGTGGTTTTAGACTTGTACAATGAAAGGTAGAAGTTGAACTCATCAGAATTGTAGATAAAATAAGTAAAAGAAGATTAGGAAGGATGAGTGGCAAACCTAATGTAACATGGATAGAAGTTCAAAATAATTTAAGAATATGTTCAAAATCTCAGACAATGCTTAACTGGAAAAAAATGAAAAATGGGATTAATAATGCCAATTCCAAATAAATTAGATATGGATAATGATGATGACTATAAATTAGCACTTCCATTAGCTTGTTTTCCTATTGTTTCTTTTGATTATTGATTCACAACACCCTTGATCCTGTGTTACTCAGAGATTTCTTGTGCGGCTTATGTGCGGCTCAGTTACATTGCTTGTGGCTTTTCGTTTGAAATTTATTTTGCAAACTTTAATTTTAATGTAGCTCAGTGAACACTGATGGTTTTAAACCCAATTTGGAAAGCCACCTTGTTCCACTGCTTGCCATGAAGCTCAAAGATGATTCTGCAGACAAATCTATTCAACCATGCTCTTCAAAAGCTGCTCACCATTCATTGCTTTTAGAGGTATCCATCTCTACTATGCCATCACACTCTTTGGCTCGGGAATTCTACTTCATGGTAGTTAACTGAAGTAGAATGATAGCTAAAATCTTGAATTTTGCTATTTTTCACGTTGGAGTTGTTTGTGAATTTTGTTGGGGTTTAGTTACTCAATTGGTTTGTATACTTTGCAGATTCTGGCTAAGGAGCTTGATTGCAAAATTAATGAAATTATAGACATAGAGCTAAATGTTTGTGATACTCAACCTAGTTGTCTTGGAGGTGGTGAAAATGAATTTATATTCTCTGGGAGACTTGATAATCTTGCTTCCTGTTATTGTGCACTGAGATCACTAGTGGATTCATGCAAATCAGAAAGTGATTTGGCAGATGAGACAGCTATAAGAATGGTAGCATTATTCGACAATGAAGAGGTAATTCTTTATATTCACATTTGTGCATTGAAAATCGTCCTTCTGTTTCTAAATCCATAGTTTTATGCTGCCAAAATTTGTCCGCATATAGTTTGATTCCAAGTGCTATTTATCGCCTCCTTTGATAAAGAGAATGGGAGAAGTGGGTAGGCTTGTATAGGTAGCATAGGAGATGGAAGATGAGAACAACGGACATGCAGTGCTTATTGACCTCCCTTAATGGCTCTTACTCCGCTATGTTTGCCTTTGTCTTCTTTTTCCTTGTGTTGAACTCTTCCTAGTGGAATTATATGGTCTCCATAGATCTATATTTATGAAATTTAGTAATTATGTGCAAACCTCCAAGTTTATAGTCGCCAGAAACACAAATGTGTGGGTTTATACGAATAAATTAAAAAATGAAAGATAATTTATTTACTTTTTGGAATTTCAGTTTACTTTTTTTTTTCTTTTTTTAATTTTGATAAATATGCCTTTGAGGTTCCTAAGAGAATAGATCGTACTTTATTTTTGTATGGTCCTCCTTGGGTGCAGTTTTATATTTTTTAGTTTGCACTAGCTTTTTGTTTTGGCTTTTGCTTACCTGGTGTACTTTCTGATTGGTTGTCTCAATATCTTCATTTACTGAACTTTAGTACTCTCCGTTGTTATGGCCCTGAAGCTTATGTGATTTATACGGCCTTTGGTGATATCGGAGTTTAACCAAATAACAATGAGAAAACATTATTATTGCTGAATTCAAATGGGAAATTATAACCAAACAAACAAAAAATTGAAATTGTAACAAACAAGTAGCACAACACACGACTAGGATGAATCTAAGGTGGTAATAGTGGCTTTTAGGGGTGTAAAAGGAGGCAACAAGGTAGGGAAGTGGAACAGGTGGTAGGTACGACAGGGAAAACAACGATGATTTGCTGTCCAGGGTGGCAGCAAGTAGGGAAGTGGGTTGGACTGTAGGGAAGAAAACAGGAAGACAATAGTTGCTTGCTGTCCTGGGCGGCAGAAAGTCAGGAATTGGGGCAGGTCTGTGGATAAAACAATAGGAGGCACTGTTCTGGGCAGTGGCAGCAAGGAAGGGGATGGCGGGAAGCGATGCGGGATTGAAGGGAAGAAAAAAGGGAAGATAATCACCACCTTGAGAGCGAGATATAGTCGGAGCACCACTCCAACCTTTGGATACAACCCCAGACTAGAAAATAGAGACGAAGGTGGCTGTTCCGAAACAGACACACGAAAACTCTAACCCTAGACACCAACAAAATGAATAAATAGACCTAAGGTCACCGGAAGTGGGCCCCTCCCAAAAAAAGAGGTGCTATCCCTAGCTAGGGCAGACCGACCCTCTTGAACCTGGATCGAACCGGTTCAAGAATGCAAACGGGCATTAAACACCCGTTTCAGTTTATGGGGGTTGAGGGAGCTTCAACCTCATCCGTCGAAGCTTGTCTCATAGAATGAAGCCAAGTCAGTCACGTTTAAGGTGGAGAGAATGTTGTTCCCCTAGAAGCACCTGTATCTTACTGTAAGATGTTTTATTCCTCAGGGCACTTGAGAAGGGTTTCGTAATTATACATACCCATCTCTACCTGTCCAACCTTCCGCAAGTACCTTTCTAAATTGAATTGGAACTTTGTGCCAATCGTACTCTGTAAAATTTTCCAAAAGTAGCCCATGGTTGGCTCATTCCTCTCTAAAGTGTAGACATAATGAACCTCCCCTAACGGTTGCAGTCTTGGCGATAATCTATTGATCATATTATCCTAAAACTCTCCCCGTAGTGGTTGCTTTGTGTATGTTATCGGCTCTTTTGTCTCACTACCCTATGAAATCACCAAAATTGATCACACTGGAGCCTCTTCGCTTGCAAGAGCATCTATAACTTTGAACTCTATGGAAGTTAGGAGAAATATGCACTTTCTATCCCGTGCAAATGAGTGGGTGCTCTTGAACTCATTATGCTGTGTTCTGTGATCAAAATATCATGGTCTACCCAACAAAATGTGACTTGCATTCATGTGCACCAGCACTGCCGTACTTTAGAAGATGTTGGGCTTCCTAGAGTTCTCTTTGCTCAATACGATTTTTGTTCACTGCAAGACCTCTGGTAGACCATTTAACCAAGTTCAAGAATGTGATTGAGAATGTCTTTGAGTAGTGAAACTTAATTTATCCACCTCTGTGTAGATGCCACATTATCACTACTACCTCTATTGATGATAAGGCTGCACACATTTCCTTTCACCATGAACGAGTATAAAAGATATTGTGGTGCAACCACTATTGATCTCTTGTAACCTTAGTCTCGCCCTTATCAGCTGAAAGTTGGTACTCCTGCACATCCTCACTATCTCCCGTGTCTTTAGCACCACTATCCGCTTTTCCTACCACTCCTTGTTCAACCAGGAATAAACTCTAATAGTAGGGCAACTAGAAGCGATGTGTTCAAACCCATAACATCTAAAAGCACTGTAGTGGGTATACTACTCCTCTCGGGCAACTGGAAGCATTGTACTTGGTATACTGCTCCTTTTTTGGCTTTTTTCCACTCAGATCAGTTCTATCATCTTTCTGGACAGTTTTCACATCTTTCTCAGGTGTGCTTCTGCTGATACCTTCTGCTATGGGTGATTGTCTGAATGAATATGGTGGCTGCTCTGCTTCTGCCGTCACTTCACCTTCAGTGCACGGTCTGAACACCACTAAACATCCAATATGACTGTACCAGGACAACGTTGCTAATGGTCTGCTTCAGGCTCCCAAATATATATGGATAGTGTGTTCTGCTAGTTTTGCCAACTCACATTTCAATGTGCTGTTCAAACTTTATTATGAACTCGTCCACTGACAGCTTTATCTGCTTTAGGTGGTGGAGCTTCAAGGACATGTATTGACAATGTTAGGGAAGAAATATTCACGAAAATGTGAAACACTGATTGGATCCAAAACAAAACTTACAACAGAAGCATATATATAGTAAGAAAACATAAGAACTTCGAGATTTAATGTGCAAAAACTTGAGAACTTAAAAAAATAACGCAACCACTTCACACTAATATATCCACCACGAAGTAATGTACAAATTACACCAAACGTAAGCCTCTCTACAACTTGGAACACTCGGGTTTCTCCTCTCTGTTTTTTTGCACAAGAGAAATTGTGAAATCTTCAACACATAGACACTTCTTTCTCACAGCAAAAAAACAAAATATAAAGTCTTAAATTGCAAAAATTCGGCTACAGGCATATAGGCGTCGCACTCGGGCATTGGGTTCTCCAGGTGCGCCATTCCAGGGAACGTTTCAGGCGCACTTGCGCACCTTTTAGGCACTGGGTTTCTTAGTGCACTGTTCCTAGGCGCCTATGCACCCCCACTAGAGTTGGGTTTTTGCTGCCAGGCATGAAGGCTTCTCCCTAGGCACTGAGGCGTAGCTACCAGGCTCTAGGGCGCTTAATTGGGTGTTGGGCTCCCCTCTTATAGCCCATTCAGGCTCCACATATAATATTCTCACTTGGAAACTGATTTCAACCAATTCATCTCCTCCAGATCTATACCATCTTCATAGTAATGTACTGTAGTGTGGTTCTACTTCAGTCTCAACCTTTTGAACTCCAATTGAAGCCAAATATAGCTTTAGTTTTTTATTTGCGACAACTTTAGTTAACATATCTGTAGGATTCTAAGTTGTGCATCTTCTGTAAAGATAAGGAATGAACGAATAAAGAAATGCCTTAGCTGAATGTGCTTCTTCCTGATCTGAAAAATGACATTCGTAGTTAGATGAATGACACTAATATTGTCACTGCGAAGTTTTCCATTTGTTTGTTCCTTGCCTAGTTCTGCTACAAAGCCCTGTATCCAAATTATTTTTCTGTTAGCCTCAGTGATAGTAATATACTTCGCTTTTGTAATTGATAGAACAACAATCTTTTGCAACCTGAAAACCCAATTCGCTGTTGTGTTTCCCAAAGTGTAGATATAACTTGTACTTCTTACAATTAATATCTCCTGTTAGAGCTGAATCTATATATTCATGTTTCTACACTTTCAAAACAAAGTGTCTTGTTGACTGCTTCTCTCAAGTTTCTGAGAACCATTTCACCGCCTTCCAATGATGTTTAACTAGATTACTCATATACTGACTAACTGCTCCTACTGCATGTGTAATATTTGACCTTATAAATATCATCACTTACATCAAGCTTCGAACTTGTGAATCATACAAAGTTGTTTGATCTGTTTTAGACTTAGATGATTCTTTATTAGATAGCTTAGAGTCACTACCCAAGGGGTGCAAATTAGTTGTCTTACTCACGTTGAACCTGTGTAGGAACTTCTCAATATATTTTTCCCTAGACTACTTCAAAGCACTTGCACTCTCGTCCTTACTAATTCTCATACAATGAATCTTTTTGGTTGGATCTAAATTTTTCATTTCAAATTTCTTTGGTAATTGCTCCTTCAAGTCCCCAATTTCCCTCATATCTATTCATGTAATCAGTATGTTATCTACATACCAAAAAAAATATACTATAACAATTATCAATATATTTAATGAAGCAACAATAATCTGCCTAACATTTTGCGTAACCAATATCTGACATTAACCTATCAAATCTTCTGTACCACTGTATTAGTGTCTGCTTCAACTCATAAAGACTCTTTTTTCATTTTATAAATCATATATTTTCTTTCTAAAACTTGATATCCCTGTGGTTGCATCATATTTGGTTTCTCTTCTAAGTCACTATGTAAGAAGACTGTCTTTACATCCATCTGTTCAAACTTTAGATCTACTAAGCTCTACTCAACTCTGGTACTTATCATTTTCACTATTGAAGAAATTTCTTAGTTTAGTCAACTCGTTTATGTTGCTAAAACTCCATCACAACATATCATTTTCACTATTGAAGAAAATTTCTTAGTTTAGTCAACTCGTTTATTTTGCTAAAACTCCATCACAACAAGCCTTGCCTTGTAGCGCTCGCTGACATCTGAC